TTAACGATCACTGATATCGATCTTTATAATTATTTTTCCATTAAAGTTAAATTAAATTCGTTGTAAAACCTGAAATTTAGGCAATTAATTTAATTTACTATTCAACAATGCAAATTCTAAGAAGATGGGACATTAGAAGATGAAGATGCATTTTTAATTTGAAAATTATTCATATTTCAAGATGGTATATTGCATATTGTTAATAAAAAAATTTAAATAATAATAAAATTTTAAAAACTCATTTTTATTTTAGACATATTATGTAAATTAAATTTAGTTCTATAATATTAGAGCACAGCAAAGTCATTTTTTCTCCTATTTAGAAAACAATCAAATCTTAAAAAACAAGAGAATAAAAGGACGGACATAATAACAAAATTGGCTCACAAACGACGAAAAATTACATAGATTTGGATGACCGCAATACAAATACCATTCGCTCATTATTATTAAGTAATTAAAGTAGGTCTAATTGCACTTAACGATTGAGATGGCCGGGAGAGAAGAGGTAAGTGGCTTGGCAGAGAAAATGCCTCGTAAGCAGGTAAATAATGTCTAACGACCAGCCAGCCTCTCTTCTGTCTGACGGGGACCGGCAAAATTATAGGGGAGCATCCATACGATTTCTTCATACAATGCCCAACATACAGCAACTCCACGACCTAAATACCAAGTTTACACTGAGAGAAATGTACATTAGGGTGATTAAAAAAATTACTTCCGACACTGAAGTACCTCTAGAAAGTGCTTTCCAAATTTAAGCTCCTAATAATAATAGGAAGATCATCCTTATCATTTTTTCTTTAGTTCTTATACAAAAGACCATATTTTATTATTAAACAATTGTTTAAATCTAATCTTCAACCTTATCTAATATAATTTTTTAACTCATTGAAAAATAATTATTAAAAAATATTTTGAAATTACATGTTATTTTTTGTATCAAAACCATTTTTTTTAGACTGTAGTACCAACCCTACAGTTTCTAGCAAGGAAGGGTCTTCCATTAAACCTCATTCAAACTAAACCATCGAACAGGTCGCAAATTATAGGTTAGCTGGGTGAAGCATTGTATAAAAAATACGTGTGCTGGAAAGTTGCGTGTATTTTAATGGATATAAAATTACACAAAATATACGTCTGGCCATGGGAACGGCTGGCCGCAACGGTTCACCTAGGGCTAAAAGTGTTTCAAAAACCTATCATTTGCTGTGTCAATAATTCGGCGCGATAGTGTTTGTTGCCGACAAGCTGTCATTTTAAACAATCTACAGAGGCAGTTTTTTTAATTTTTAATAATAATAAATGTATCCATTTTGTCAAAAAAAATTATGAACTAATACATTTTTAGTACAGATTTTTTTTTCTTAGTTAGATATTAAAAACCTTTCTTAAGGTAACATACAAATAATTGCCAGGGAATAAATATAAAATTAAGATACATTTTGAGCTTTTCGAACTATTTTTTAAAAGCCAAATTTTATTTTTAAAACAAAAATATTTACCATTGAAGACTACAAAATAATTAGAGAAAAAATTATTGTTGATGGGGATGGATTTTGAGTTATGTCAATCATTTTTATAATGATTAACTTAAAAGATTATAAAAAAATATACTTTTATCCAATTAATTATTTTAAAACTGGCTAAACAAGTGCTTTTTAAGATGACATAAACTTTGTTGTTTATTATTATAATGATAACGGATAAATTAATTAATGTACATAAATAAAATCAATAATGGCTGGCCTTATTTGATATATGCCACAAGTATTCCTTTCAAATCAAGTTTTGCAGATACCTAGTTGTCAACAACAAGATTTGAATCCTTGTAAAGAAGTAGCTAATTGATAATGTCATAATATCCTTTTCTTTTCGTTTAAAAACTTGCATTATTCCTAAACGATACCAACAATTAATCTTCAAAATGGGCATGCCACTGTACATATCTTATAACAAAAATACCTCGTAGCAAATATTCGTTACGGAATCTTGAAATACCCGTTCCGTTCATATATCGAAGATGGATATTATCGAAATTATCAGGCTTAATTGCTATATTTCCCTGCTGAATCCCGTCAAGCGCATTCCTTGGCAATTGCTTGTTTTTATCGCTTTATTTCTTGCATTTCCTTCAACGTAGCTAATTTATTGAAGTAATGCCATGAGCAGGAAGAGAGCACGAGTTCCAAAGCATCTAATTAGAATATATTATTGCCAGTTTTTACATCTGATCAGGCCGGGAAGCAAGCCTTCATTAAGAGCAAATATTAATAAAACATAAACATTGTAAATCCACAAGATTCCTTCAATAAACTATACCGACCATCTGAAATGATCAACGATCTTCTCATCTCTTTTTAATTGAAATTAAAATACTAAGCAATTGAAGTACCTACCAAGAAGGATTAGTTAGAAGAGGAGATATCCAAATTAGAAAATAATACCCACTACGTAGGTTAATATTTAATGGTTATGCATCTTTGATATAAAAATGGCGCACAATTTTTATTGGCAAAAGGCAAAAAAGGTTAATCTGTAAAGATTCATAAATAAATCCGTTATCTCCATATTTAATTGGTCCGTAAGTGGCTTATCAATTTTGAAAACAGCGTGCACCAGCGGGCACGGTTGGTTAATTAACGTAGCAGGCTAAGTAAACAGTCGTAAAAGAAAAACAAATGAAGGCCCCTATCTCCTTTAGAACTCATAAATTGTCGGACGCTTATACACCGTTGCCATCGTTCCGAAATCATCGAGGCGCATCTGAATCACATCACTCACCATCGGCATTGGCAATGCGCGTAATCTCGATGAACCACTTGACCCGCCAAAGTAAACAAACATTTTTGAATCGCGGCATCCGGCAACGCCGCACTCTTTATCTATGGACCTCTTGCTTCTTGCTTACCTGACTTGAGTGCTTTACCTTGTCCGAGATTGTTTTAGCCGCTATTCGCTTATCTTCTTCTCTTTTTACCACTCTGTTCTTATCTCGCAAGATGCGAGAGACCAGGCTATGCACTTAAATCCACAGACCGACCAAAGACCGGATTATTATAATATCAATGATTAATTTAGGCAAAGAAGAAAGATTGCATTATCTGTATTAGGTATATCCGTTATACATATACATTCATACAAAATCATTATCGAATGGGTTGATGAGGATGATGAGCATTTTCATTTCCAAACAGAATTTGTTGAGGGAAAAAGGATCAACAAAATATTTAAAGTTTTTAAAATGTAGCGTTGAAATTAAAACACAAAATAATAAATATTTTACTCTGTTCGAAGTGTTGCCTAAAGGAAGGTTTTAAATAAACACCCTGTAGATAACACATCGTTAAGATATTTAATAAAGAGAATGAGTAGTTGTTTGTTCTTGGGTAGTTCTCTATTATTAACCGACAATGATTTGCAAAAATTTAAAGAAAATTTAATACATAATTAAATTCCACTTCATGCAATCTGCTGGTGTAGTTTAATTAATATTTAGATTGAGATACCTAATTATGAAAATCAGTGTAATTAAATAAACATTTCGAGCAATGTCCATTAAAATGTCGTTAAGATCATCTATGGATGATTTAAAAGAGTTAGATGTGTATCTGTACATGGAGGTCCGTACGTAAATTTCAGTGAACAATTATGTAAATCCACGACAGCGATTAATAAAAAACCAATAGAGACATAAGAAACGAGTCCGCGTTTCTGAGAAAGAGAGCTAAAAAAGAGCGGTGAGATCTTCACGAAGTACACGTAGCTATAGCTACAGCCTGAAAATCGAACAAGCAACAGGTCTTTCTTTCGACAGAGATCGGACTTTAATGTGATTTAAATTGTCAATATATAAAACTTATTATTTAATTTGATAAAAACCGCATTATTTAACTTGATAAGCTAAAAGCTTTGACGTGATATCGGATGATTAAACAATTGGCGGCGCCACGATGTAAATTTGTTTCGGCTAAAAAGCATTGATAAAATGAAGAAAATGTTAAGTATTGTGATATTTTTAATTTCAGACATCAAGTAAGATTTTGGATATACCTAAGCAAATAATAAAAATATAAAATAAGTTACAACAAACTTTGAGAAATAGCGATAAAAAATCGTTAATATTTACGCGTTTTTATACATTATGGAAGTTAACGCAAACACAAAAATTCTGTCGTACCAACCTAAAGACAATTTCGATTTTTTGCTGTGCGCCCTAAAAAATATTAAACCCTAATTAAAAATAGAAAAAGTGTGTGAAATTTGTTTATCGAGTAGAAAATGCCACATGTTAAAAATTCTCAAAAGAGATGGCACGTACCTATAGTAAAGAAGTTTTAAACATCTATTCTATTTTTGCCCACGACCATGATGGTCTTGCTCCAGTGGCTTTGCGTGCGGTCTAATTGTCGAACATACCAACTTAATTGAGGATAATGGTTGGCGCCTATCGTCTAGCTCGGGCCCTTTTTATTTTAGGAACCTCTTATCGCCAATATCGTAAATTTTAGAAAACTAGGAAACGATTTTGTCACACGATACACAGGTACCTAGATAGGTAAACAGGTAGAGACAGGTCCTACAGTAAGAAAATGTCAGCAAATTTATTATTGGAAAAATTGATTGCAATCACGGAAAACATGGCTTTTGGCCAATTAAGCAGTCTTCGGCAAAATAAAAAAACCTTTCTAGATATTCTTATAACTTAACTTGCAATAATCTGCACTTTTTGTCTCTCTAAATATTATTTAAAAAAATTATTACGAACAATATGCCATTTATGCCACTGTAAATTCGTTTAATCTGAGTTATTTCTTTGAAATCACAGAGTTTATTATTCTTTAGATGGCCTCGGATATTTTGATTGAAGTACGAAATCCGATAAGAAAGATAAACGTTCATAATGTAAATAAAATAACTTGTTGCATCTTGTTGAAATTTGCTGCTAAATTGTGCAACATATTTAAAAAGATGGTTTTGTATTATTAAAATAAACTTACCGGAAGAAAAATGCATCCAATTTTTAACAGGCTTATTAATGCTGACCGATTGTTCTTCGTTTGCCGAGACGTTGGATAAATAAACGGTAACAAACAAACCGATCATCTTGATCCGCAACGTGCGAAAAACAGCTTCCCTTTGATCCGACATTGTTTATGTCTATAAATAAAGAAAGCACTTGCTCACTTTTCGAATGGGTCTGTTGTTTATTTTCTAAGCGGTTTAGAAGGCGCCAGCAATATTATACAAATAGCGAACACGATCAACAAAAAACTATTCGAGATGTGCACTTATTTTACACTTAACTCGACTGTCAAACGGCAGCGATGTTTTGACGGAACGTTCGTGTGCCACACGACTGCACCGAAACGCAAACTCGAGTCGACTGACTGAAACATTGAAGCGCACGAATTCTTTGTATCGTGAGCGAGCGCCACTCTTCACAAACGCACAAATCAGACCACTTTTTTTATTTACTTTTAAGCGCATTCAATTCATTAGCTTTTGCTCTTTTTATTTTTAAATAATAAAGATTAATTATAATATGGGGTAGACCCGAAATAAATTTTTATTACCAATTTATTATCAATTTAAAAAAGTTTTCAATTAAAATGGTAAAGTTAGTAAAAGGAGCGATTGGGTAGGTAGGTACTAAAGTAACAGACTCTGTTTTTAGTTTATTTAGTATGTTTTTAAGGACTTTTTTTTGTCAGAACGTGAAGTACATAAAAAATATTTTCATTAAGATCCCGCGGAGGCTACTTTTTTATTATTGACCCTTCATCATACCTAATGTTAAAAACTAATTCCACGCGAACGAATAAATAATGGATAAATAATAATAATTACCCATTCAATCATTTAATGTATTTTAAAAAGCCGTAAATTAGTATCAAAAACCTACACTGGCTGTCCGTTCCTAATATCAATTAAGACCTAAGGAATTTCGTATCGTCTACGTACGATAAAACAAAGATATTGATGAGTGTTTCTTCTTGTAGCGTACGGTAATTATAAACATGTCCGTGCCCCCCGCTAAGTCTTAAGGGGTAGGGGGGCCACTGAAAAACAACGTACACGTTGTAGGCTACAACGAAACCTGCACAGTAATAAGAAATTATGAAGCGCCAATTGGACATATTTTAAAATATTATTTTTGAAAAAAACCTACAATAAATTTAGACAGTAAATTGTTAACATTAGAATTCTATTGGTCTTCAGTTCATGATCTTGGTAACAAAAATGTAATGAACATAAATTGTTTGTCGAAACATCACGGTGCGTTCAGTTCATCCGTATGTGTACTTAAGCCAGTAATTAAGTTTTTTTAAGGCATACCTAAATAATTAACATTTTTGTTTAGCTAACATATGCAATACACGATAGAGTGTATGTTTTTAGCAAATATGGAAAGAGCCATCCCTGATATTTTAATTAATAGTTCAAATTGAAAACTACTTAACTCTGTTTGCTTCTTCAATTCCAGGGTGATTTAAAAATATTGAGCCAAACAATTTGGTTTGTTTGTGTTTTGTTAAAAGAACATTTCTCTCATTAAACATACTTAGATAACTGTTACCTAATTGAAGGGAAAAAGGTTGATTTGGAAATTAGATTCTTTAAAATTTTAAAGCACTGGATAATTAAATTAGTTGATAATATGCTCTGGTTTTGACATGTGTGGTTTATAGTTGGCCATATATAAACAAACTAAGTATGTTTAATAGAGAGGGTCAAGTTTAAAAAAGACCGCAACGCAGTGGGTTGGCTTCGGACACCCGGCGGTTTTATCTAAGATGAATAAATATTTTAAAACATTTAATTACCATGAGTGCATTGTTTAAGTTATTTTATTATTATATAAAAGGGCAATGTAATTGCTTCACTACTGTTTAAAAAATTTGGTTCTATTATTTACTGTCTGCAGAAAAAAGTCCGATTTATTATTTAAAAATTTATTAATCAAATTTTTAATTATAAAAAATAAACTGACTCATCTTAAAAAATGACGAAGCACTATAAGCTGCTTTGATAACTTAGATTTTAGATAACATTCTTTTAAATAACCGCAAATATTATTAATAATCTACTATAGTAGGTAATAAATTAAAAAACTGCAGAGATATACTTTAATAGTATATATGCATATACAGGGTGTCCCATAATTAATGGTTCACAACAGAAAATATTTTATTAAATAACTTTGAAAAAAAAAAGTTTTTTCACAAAATTAGTATTTGGGGGTTTCCTAAAAAATTGGTGAAATTTTTTTGGCAATAAAAAGTAATGCCTTTATTTTAAACGTAAATGCAGCATTAAATTTAAACGTATGCAATGTGTCACATACTTCCACAGTATACTTCCAAGTATGTGCAATGTGTCGCAGACAGCGCCATCTACAATCTACATCAATAATTTTAGTAAATTTAAATTTTTCGCACTAAAAACCGCTCAAATACCAAATTTTGTGTTATTTAATAAAAACCGAAAACGAATTTTAACTTTGACATCCTGATGGTTTCTTGGTTACCATAAACTTTTATTCCTGGTAAATTTTGTTTAATCCTTTATACAAAAGGAATGTGTGGTTTTGCTGTGTACCATTAATTGTGAAAGTAAAGTATACTATACATATTAATAAAATAAAAAAATGAGGCACTTATGCGATACAAAATTAGCAGGTAGGTATAATTTTTCGGGCATCAATTGATACCTGTTGTAATGGAGAAACGATGTTACGACGTTTTTCTCAAGAACACCGATTAGATTGGTCGTATTTATGGGTTTCCGTTACATTTAACAACTCAAACATTAAAAGCAGCACAAAAGTTATGACCAAAATTTTTATATATTTGGATTGAACATAGTATGTAAATTACTTAATAATGAAATTTAAAAATTCTGAAAAACCGCGATTAATTTTTTTTTTTTAAATGCGCAAAACTTATATTTGAGTTTTTGTAAGAGATGTTAATGGACCAATATTTATACATTTTCTCTAGATACCTACTTAAAAATTATATTACCTATTTATTAAATTAAAGGAATTTGTAAGTGCAAAAAAGATTTTTTGTTAGCTAAAAATAGACTTATGTGGCATCTGGATTTTTTTGCCTGCAACACTTCCCGAATAGGGGCCCCAGATTTTTGATACATAGCCTCTTTGGACTATAGTCTTTGTTTAAAATTCCGGAAACTTATTTAACTAAAAAATATATATTTTTAAGGATTTTATGACCAAAGGTCTTTGGTTATTTTTTAAGACTTTACGCCAACCATTCACACAAAAAGAGGTACAAAATATGGTAAAATAATGTTTTAAAATTAATCAAACATGTATTTAATAAAAGAAACTAGTTCTGGAAAAAGATCTTTAATTAATTAAAACAATAAATATATACAGTTTAACAAATTCGATTTTATAAAAAGTGAAGACCTTGTTATAAAAGTGTACACCCTACATTCAATTTTGGATATTGAACTCATAGCCAGCTATGTTTTAAACAGTGTGTACTTGTAATAAATTAAATTCATGCATCCAAAAATTGTTTAATGTAAAAAACCAGACAAATACAAACATTCATAAAATATCACTGGTTGTTACTACTAAACTAAACCAGAGCAAATATTTTTAACATTGGGTTTACAATAAATAAATTAGGTAAAATATAAATTTGCCAAAGTATTTTCGACAAATTTATCAAAGGACAAAAATTCTATAAAAAATATCATCAAAAATAATGTTTAATGATTAACTGTAATCTACTATACACAGCTTATAATATACATTGACATATTTTATATATAACATTTTTCCTAAGATTCACAAACCTAAAACGTATTCCTTCTAGCAACCCCTTGGTGGTTTTGTCAAAAAAAAAATAATTAAAAAACAACTTTCTTTTATTCAGTCAATGTAATTTAAAAACTTAATTCACAAGGCTATCATCACATTTTATTCAAAAGCTATTTGAGTAAAATGTTTAGATTATCAGTTTGTAAAATCATGATTATACACTTTTTGATGAATTAATTAGGTATTAAAATATGCACAAGTTTTATTTTTACACTGGGATATTTTTCATCATGTCTTTCACTAGATTCAGTTTTAATTCAAATTACTTTACCCAGATAACAACAACATGGGTTGTATTTTGTAGATATTAATTTTAATCACAAATATTTCATGTTTAACCAATAAAGTAGGAGTAAAATTCAATGAACATTTCAAGCAATGTAAGTCACAATTAATTATCACATTGATTTAAACAAAAAATTAAATAGGTCGTCGAAAAAAGTCGCTTATATCTTGGACTTATTGTTGTTGCTTAAATTTAAACTTTCCATCAGGGAACTAACGTACGCCTCATGGATAACCTTGGTGAAATGAGAATCGTTTTTCAGCAGGAATATCAACGCCTGCGCCAATTGTTTTTCCGTCAACAAATCAGGCCTGTCGTCGTGCACTTTTTCCTTGGCATTGGTGGTCTGAAACATCATGGGCGTCATCAGCTGCGGTTTTTCCACGCTCTGAACCTTCGACATCAGCTGCTGGAACCCTTTGCTCTCATCCTGCGCGCTGTGTGCGTACGCGTGCTGCGTATTGTGCATCAGATTCAGCAACGGAGACGCGCTCATTTGGGATTTGTCTTTGAACGGGGAAATTCGAATGCCGTCGTCGGAAATTGAATTTTTGTCGGCCCCGCTGGTGCTGGGGAAGGAGATGGGGACGCTCCTGCGGTCCGCGCAGGGGTTGGCCGGTTTCTGCCGCATGTTGACCAGCTCCTGCGGCGTTATGGATCTCTGTTGTTTCTCTATGTGCTCGACGCTGTGCGCGGGATTCGACATGAGTCTCTGTAAAACGTGCTGCTCGCTGCTAACAGGCGCAGCGGCCTGAGATTTGGCGAAAAATTCCATCACGCTTTGTGAGGTTACGTCCGGTACGCGAGGCGTTGACGAAAACGATGGCACGGAGTTCTGCTTCGTCGGGGTTTTGTTGAAGTCCTCTTGTGCTTTGGAAAGCATACTAAAACAGGCATTGCTTTTTGAAGTAAAAGTATCAGGATGAAGCAAACATTTTAATAATTTATTATTAAGACCATGGTACAAGAAAACAAGGTATTTTCTTGCGCATCTGTTTACACCACTCCAAATAAAATTGGAAAAAACAATATAAATTATAGTTCTTTTACAGTGTACAAGAAATACTATGAACCAGGAAGCATAATATGATCTTTGTAGACTCAAGAACTGCAATGTAAGAAATTAAAATAAAATTTGAAAAACAAAATTAAATCTTTTTTTGCATTATGCAGGAAATGCCAAGACAAGGACTATAATAAAATAAAAACTCAAACTGCAGCATGCTGCTGATAATAAAATGGCCCAAGATTGAAACATCCCAAAGGCATTACAAAACCAGCTTATACCATACCAAAATAAAATATTTTTCACAAGTTTAGTTTGTTTTATTCAATGTTGGCTCCATGGTGGTCAATTTATTGTTTTTATTTGGCAACTAAACCTAAATGGCAATTATTTATAAATACAATTTTGTAATAAATAAATTTTGGAAAAATATTTTAACATTTTTCTTACAATGTTAATGTTGTAACTTGACACTTTTCATTTCATTATTTATATTTGCTTTAAAATCAAATATTTTTTTAAACATTTAAACTAAAAACTAAAATTAAATTTTTCTCACCACTCTTTTCATTTATTTTATTTGGTATTAAGTAAATATCATTTACTTTAAAACAATTTATTTTATTTGATTGAAAAAACATATAAAATAGTTTTTTTTCATTAGTAATATTTTTTGAAATGTCAATACTGCGACATAGATCGTTTTTTAAGTGTGATCTTCAAATTATAAGACAATTTAATCTAAAAATCAAATAATTTTCTAGTAATTTGGATCAATTTCATAAGAGAATAATATTTAAATTTAAAATATCATTTAAATTGAAAGGCGGGAATTGAACTAAGATGGCGGTAACTAGGTGGTGCGCAAAGTGAACCAAAATTCGTCCCAATGAAGAACATACCTTGTTTTCTTGTACCATGGGTACAACTCAATAAAACTGCATGGTAATTTTCTTGTTGTTAATACAATAAAATATACCTCTAGAATCTTTCCCTTATCTTCATACCTACCTCAATTATTTCTATACTGAAAAGTATTTTCTAGAATTCTTAGAAAAATCGCTTTCTAGTGAATAATAGAGGTATTAACAATAAGACACCTCTTATAACAGTATATTACTGTTGAAATCAGGAGAGACTTTTTCCAAATATAAAAAGTAGATTGCATAGATGAAATGTATATTCTATTAGAAGGGTTTTACTTTCCAAAGGAGAAGACAATCAATAAAATAGTAGATAGTATTTAAAAAATTATTTTGATGTTACTGTACTCAAATAAGTACAAAATGTTAAATTAATAATACTAATTATTCTAAAAACATATAGGTACATATTATAATATAAATATTTTATTTATGATTTTATTTGTTTTCCAGGTAGGTATTATATTATATTTATAGTTTTATTTGTTTTCAGGTAAAATTATCAAGAAGTATAATTTTTTATTATATAATCTATTTTAAATAAATCTGGAGTAGCTTGTAACACTGTGTTAATACTGTGCTTATTTAGTTGTAGATAAATTTTAAAAAAATACTTATATTACTTATATTTATCATTTTCTTCGTTTTTAAGGTAAAATTATCAGGATGTATATGCTATTTAAAAATATATCAGTAGTACCTAGCTTTTTTCAAATATAAAAATAGATACCATAGATAAAATGTATGGTCTGTTAGAAGGGTAGAAACCTTTACAAAGAGAAAGAACATCAATAAAATAGTAGATAGTGTTTAAAAAATCATTTTGTTGTTAAACATTTTGAACAAAATTAAACTACTTTAATATTTAATTGTGTACTTATGAGAAGAAAAGTTCCAATTTAAGGTAAAATGATCAAAAACAAAATAAGCCATATAAAGGCATGTTTTATAAGCACAATACATCATCGATGGATTAAAAACTACTTATTCTTACCTAAATATATCAATTCCGTTTTCCTTTTTTAGCGAGGACCCGTCAGATTTTCCCTTAAGACCATCCATGATAGACTCGATCAAATATGTGATATTAATGCACTCTTCTCGATTGAAAAACCAAATACCAAAAATCTTGTTCTTGGAATTCTTGTAGAGTAAAAAGGGCACTTGCATCTGATAATCAAACTCCTTCACAATGGGTTCTATCACATTATTAGCGTTAAGTCTGTTCATAACCATAATGCTGTGGTACGGCTCGCCATTTCGGCTGTAAACGAATAATGCGCCTTCAGTGTTCGTTCTTTCCCACTCGTTTTGCGCTGTGTTGAACTTGTAAAGAGCTACGTGAGTTGCTGTCGACAAAATTTCTTTAACATATGGATCAACTCTTTTAATTGAGTTTAAGCTCATACGCATCAATTCAATAACATCGGCCATGTTTTCAGACTGAAATACAGAACTGTTGGTAAAGTAGAACACCACTTTCTTTAAAAACGGAAACTGTTTATTTTCAACCAATTTATTAATTAAAATACAACAAAAATGTGCAATTTTAATAAAAGAATACATAATATGTATATTATACAATATCAATTTTCACTTTTATTTGATATTTTGGTTTTTCTTTATTATAATTAAAAACGGTTTTGTCTCATTAATTAATATAAATATAGATGGCGATAAAAAAAATATATTTTTAAATTTACGTAGTTGCAAATTTATTTGATTTTAATTTAATAATTATATAAATACTCTCATGCAATAAATACGAATTGCTGAGTTAATTTTATACACAGAACATTAGATGTTTTGTAGGCAACTGAGATAACACTAAGTGTAACAGGTATTGCATATCACAAGGCACCATATAAAAATGGCACCAAGAAAGAATTTTATTTTTAAATTTACTTGCAGTTGGATATTTATTATTTAAGTCTTTTGGTTTTGATTTAATTTTTTACAAATGTAGTAAAAACTAGATATCAAATAAACCGAATTATTTACTTGACTTTATATAGGCAACCAATGTAACACTAACGTAGAGCTGAATTGGAATGTTTGTTACATGGAATGTTTTAAAGAAAAATGGCGTCACATACCGAACTTTAAATTCATATTTTGTTGTGATTTAAAACGTTTTGCGGTGAAATTAGTGATATAAATTAAAGAAAATGTCTCGATCTATCCGTGCAGAGACCCGTTCTCGGGCTAAAGATGATATTAAGAAAGTTATGAACGTAATTGATCGCGTTCGCCATTGGTAAGAATATATCATTTGTTTTTTTATTCTTGTTTTGTTTTTGAGGTACCTACAGGGTGTTTAAGCAAAATATTACATTTTAGGGAGAAGAAATGGGTTACTATAGGCGACACCACAATGAAAATATACAAATGGGTGCCAATTTCAACCCACAATGATTTAAAGAAACCTATGAAGCATAAAGAAGGCCTTAAAAAGAGTATTGTGGACACTTCAAATTCAAACTCGAATTTTAGTATGGCGGACGATTCAAACACCTGTAAGAAACCGAGTATTATTTCTACTTGTTCTCTTATTAAATTAATTTCTCTTGAACAGGTTTTTCAACTGTAAGCGATTCTCAGGGTGCCACTGATTTCTCGATGCACATGACCTTTTCTGAAGATTCCAATTCCCAAGGTAGTGAAATGGTGGTGAAAAGAATGAAAACAGACTGATTGTATGTTAATTACAAGCCAAATTATTTTTTCATTAAAACACTATGTTTTAAATAGTGCTCACCTTAATTTAAAACATTAGAGTTTTATAATTGTACAATTATATTGTGTATATTTATTTTTAAAGTAAGTTTCTTTAAGTAGGATAATTTCTGTAATATTTGCTTTTTTAAGGAAATTAAACTTTTTTTATACAAAATGGACTATTAAACTTTTTTTTTAATACAAATTTAATAAAACAGCCTTAAAACTTTTTAAAATTATAATTAAAAAAAAAACAATGTTTGTAAAACTTGGGCTAGTAGGTAGTACATACATAAATTTTAATGTTTTGTTTGATATTTTAAATTTTTACAAAAAATTTTAATAAAACAGCTCTAATGACTAAGAAACCTATTAAAATTAATAATTAATTAATAATAACTTGAATAAAACACAGTTAACAATAAAGTGTAAATAAAAGGCCAGAGTTAATTATATGAAAAATTTATTTTAATATTAAACAACCTGTAGGTATACATATTGACAAGACAAATATGGAAGATATAAACAGACCGTTACAAAATTGTATTAATACTTTATTATTATAACAAATAAAACTGAAGAATCATTCATAGATAAAATCATACAAACAGGAGGATATTCTTTATTTGGACGGTCATACTTCTCAACATTCAATCAAATTTAAATTTTACCAATCACAATACTACAAAATCCCAATTCTTACTTCCTTGAGAAAATTAATTCAGTTTTGAAATAAACACATTCTCCTAGGTTGTTTTAATATAAAACAAAAAATGGTCAAAAGATTGTCATTTTGATATTTTTAAAAACTTAATTAATTTAAGTACACGTCTGTAAAATTTTAAAAATGTTACAAAACCGCTCAAAATTCCCTATAACTGAATTAATTTCCCGTGAAATTGTTAAAAAGTCTTATTATATATGTCCCCCTCAAAATTTGCTTTGCAGCTACATATTAATCACCATAAAAAGTAAGAGAAAACACAAAGGCATATTTTGAAAGGGCAGCGCAGTAAAATTTTCACTAGAAAATGTTCACTATGATTCCAAATGAATTTGTCAGTTCATTCCTGAAGCGACATTTTTACTAGGAGTAACATGCGATCCGCAAAAATATATACATATGAGTATAAAATATAGAATTTTTTATTTTTTAAATACAGCATCATGGAGGCCACCAATAAAATTATTTTTCAATTCAATTTTTATCTGTACGATCTGACTAGAAAGAAAATACAAGGATTGGGAAAATGGTCAATGCTAAAAATGCTAATGATTGAATACTACGTACTTTTTAATGGACCAATGGGTGTCCGTTATTTCCCAAATTAACTTTTTATAGCTGGCCATGGTCTAAATCAATTGTTTTTAATTTTGAAACAAAAGATTTTTAATGCTTTTCAATACTTAATCAAAAGATGATAGATTTTAATTTTAATAAAATGGGATAACATTTACCACTCTATAAAAAAGTTTTTTTATGGAAAAATGATCAATGGTTAAAATACCAAAATGGTCTATTTTTTCTGAATTTTATTATGTTGAGCACTAACATAAGTTATGCAAAAAAATTGATTAGAATAGCAAAATTTCATCAAAATCACTTTTTATAATATTTATAGAATAAAATAGTAGTCTGAACACCTTAATCAATGATTACACATAACACCATCTATGTGTTAATTGTAAAAGTTTCAAGTAGAAAATTTTGTTATAATCAATTATTCATTAAAATTGAAATTTAATTTACCGGAAAACTAAAATGTTTGCACAATGGAAAAAAACAATTTTTTTATCTAACTATTTTTTAGTGATACAAGGGGATATTTCGAAAACGGTTTAAATGTTTAATTTAAATATGTCTCCCACCTCTCTATTAGTTTTCCAAAATTTCACTATAACACTTTAAAAAACTCACCCGGTATATGTGTTTATATTATTTAAATGGTTAAATATATGAAAAAATCGTTAAAGACTTTTTTGTAAACCGTAGAATGTTCTACAAGTACATGCATTGGGAATTTGTAAGAGTTATAAAATTCAGAAAAAAATGGAAATATTTTTATTTATTGCAAATTTTGACCACCAATTATGAGGCACCGTTTGTGTTAAAATTAAAAGTGGAAAATAAATTTATTTTGCTTTATAAATAATTAATTATATGCATTATTTACCATATTATTTTTTTATAAAATTTTCTATGCAAATAAAAAATTGTAACTATTGATGCAGCTTAGGCTAGTTCAAAAAAATCAACTATTTTTTTCCTGAAATTTCGAACTGAAATATCTTCATGGTACCAAAAAAAGACGCCTGTGAAAACCGGAGCTCTTAATTTTAATATTTAGAGGTCGCGCATCGAGAATTTCTATTTCCCATTTAAATAACATGGAAAATTTTGTTTTGTTTCTTAATAATTTTCTAGCTCACAAACTAATTAACAGATTTGTATGCGCGATATATATTCTTGTGGGAAATTGAACGCTCTACAAAAAATGTCTCCTATCATTATTTGATAAACCAACTAGTTCAAAAGTTGTTCAAAGTCGAAGTTAAATGTATGTCATAAGTGCATTTTTTACTTAAATTTTAGGCAAATTCATTAAAGTTATTATCAAAAATCAAAATTACTAAGTTCAATAAACCTTTTAAATTAATTCCACTGAAACACGTACTATTACAGGAAAGAATTCATTAAAAAGGATTTAAATCAATAAAAAAGGATTTTAATCAATCAAAAAGAATTTTAATGAATTCTTTCCAAAAATAGTAGGTGTTTCAGTGGAATTAATTTAAAAGGCTTATTGAACATCGTAATTTTGATTTTTGAATGATTTTTTTTATATTTGATAATAACTAACTTATGAATTTGCCTAAAATTGAAGTAAAAAATGCAATTATGACATAAATTTAACTCCGACTTTGAACTCGTTGGTTTATCGAAAAATGATATTACATTTTTTGTAGAGCGTTCAATTTTCCACACGAATATGTATTGCGCATACAAATCTGTTAATTAGTTTGTAAGCTAGAAAATTATAAAGAAACAAAACAAAATTTCTCATGTTATTTAAATGGAAAATAAAAATTATAGATGCGCGACCTCTAAATATTAAAATTAAGAGCTCCGGTTTTCACAGGAGTCTTTTTTTAGTACCGTGAAGATATTTCAGTGCGAAAATTCAGGAAAAAAAATAGTTGATTTTTTGAACCAGCCTAATGCAGCTTCAACCTGGGCAATCTAGTCATTGGGCATTTTGAAATCAAACAAATTATATTAAAATCAAAAATTGATTTGGTGTAGGATCAATTTTTCCCACCTCTTCTCAACTTGATATAGAAGCTGCATCAATAATTTTTCATTCTCATAGAATATAATTTGATAAAGAAATATTTTGATAAAAAATAATTTAGTAAATAATTCATATTAATTATAAAGCAAAACAAGTTTATTTTGATACAAATGGCGTTTCATAACAAACGGTCGAATTTATGAAAAAATCGTTTAAAATTTTTTTAGAGCGGTAAAGGTTGTAAAAATTATATTGAGGTTAAAAACAATTGTTTAAACGTTGGCCGAGTAAAAAAAGTAAATTTGGCAAAGAACGGACGTCGAACGTTTTGAACGTTAGTTAATGCAGTAACATTGACAAAATTCCAATTCAAAAGTTTATCGCGGAAGACTGAGCTATTTCTTGTCGAAGAGGGGCAGCTTGGACCTGACCGCGCCCTCGCACACCACCAGCCGCGAGCACTTGGGCTTCTGCGCGGACGAGGGGTGTCCGTTGGGGGAGGCGGGCGCGCCGCCGTAGTTCTGCTTCTCCAAGGACCTGCGCAGCGCCGCGATCCTCGAGCTGAGCTGCAGGCCGCCCCTGACGCCCCCTGGATGCCGCAGCGTGGCCCCCTTGCGCTCGAAGTACTCCACGATGGAGGAGATGTTCGGCTGCAGCTCCTGCCCCGTCCAGTCCGACCCGGCGAGGCTCGAGATGTCCTCGCTCGAGTCCGTGTAGATGGACGAGGCGCGTTTGCACAGTTGGTCCAACTCGTCCAGGGATCTCAAGGAACTGACGGCGGTGCCGGAATCCCCCCACAGCGAGTTAGGGGAGAGGCACTCCCCCACCGACGAGTAAAAACCCGACTCGCACGAGCCGCGGCGCCTCAACGCCGTAGCGGGGGTGTCGCATTCGCTCAGGTTCGCGGTGGACTTTCTGGAGGCGGTGGGGGAGCCGGGGAGGGACTTGGGGGAGTCGTTCGTCGGATCGCAGGAGGGCAGTTCGAAGCAGGAGGAGAAGTTGCCGAGGAACTTTTTGACGCCGCGGAAGCGGGTGAGCGCGGCGAAGGGGTTGGAGGTGCGCGGTTTGTAGTGCGGGTCCTGCCGGCACATTATCAGCGCGTGCCGGCGCGCTTTGTCGCTGGGCGTCGCGTACATCGAGATCGCCAGCATCGACACGTCCTCCGATAGGGACCGTCGGTGGACGACTGCAACACACAAAACAAAACAATCAAAAAACTGTTCAAATCGTTATACCATTTTAAATCATCAAAATTTCACCAGCTGAAACTATTATCGAATTTTGCTTCCTCTTTGAAATTCAGAGTGTTAAAGTCATATTCTTTTAGGTTTTTCTTCAATACCTATCTTCTGAAATATAACAGATTAATTTGGCAGGTGCTTTTTATTATACCTGGTGTTCTTGATCATTAATCATGGTCTTTACCAAACCATAACTTTTGTCTTGTATGCTGCTGCTTAAATTTATTAATAAAATAAGATTCCTTCATCTGTTTACTAAATTTGTATCTTTTGAGTTTTTTTCATATCCTAGATTCATTAAAAGTTATTAAGAAAAATAAATAATATAAATAAGTTGGAATTATTTTATGAATTTAAGTTTTTTTGTTAAACTAGACTTAATTTAAGCAAAAATTAAATTAAAATAATAATAATTATAATTTATCATTTGCATTTTTTTATCATGATCAAATAAATCCTTTAAACCCACATCAGAAAAATAAAAAAATCATTGATTTGCAATTATTGTGCTTTGCGTTTGAGACGTTTATACAAATAAATAATCGTTTAAAACGTTGTGTTTCTTACAGAGGCACTTGTAAGCCTTAAAAGAGGCCTTAAAGTGCTAAAAAATAAACCTTATTTTATCATCAAACTGTCAAATTTAAATTTGTGGATTATGGTAAATTAACCTTAAAATTGACATTTGACAGTTTAATGCCAGCCCTGATAGAATAGGGTTAATTTTTTACAAAAGAGAAGTAAAATGGTTGTCCTTGGCACATTAAGGCCTCTTTTAAGGCTTACAAGTACCTCTGTAAGAAACACAACGTTTAAAACGATTATTAATCTGTATAAACAGCACAAACCCAAAGCACAAAAAATATAAATAACAAACATGGCAGCCGTTAAACTCTGTGCAGTAATTTTTGGTATTTTACGAGATAAAACAGACTTTGTTGTGTGGATTGTGGATTTAAGGTAGTATTTAATGTTTGATTAATAAAACAGTAGACTGATAGCAAATCAGCAGTGCCAATGTATTGAAAAAAAAAACTTTGTTTTTAAATTAACAAATTAATACTTTATTGCAATTTAGAGTATTGTTAAAAACCAAAAACAACATAAACAGTATATAATAACAATAAAAATTGTTCATTTCTTGTTATAAGGGCAAAATAACATTTAAAACCGTCATGTTTTGTGTTTTTAAGTTGACAGTAGGGATGGGCGGTTATTGTAAAAAAACCGGTTAACAGTTAACCGGTTATTTTTAAAAACCAGTTAACCTAAGACCGGTTAACTGGATAGAAAATAACCGGTTATGCAATAACCGGTTAATAATAACCTTTTCTGGCGACTTTTTAGAATAATTATTTTCAACACTGGTGTAAGTTAGTGAAGCAATATTTAAAACTGATTGCTTAAAAAGAACACTAGCAAACACCAGTGCAGGTTATTATAGCATCAACAAACAGACCATATGGAGCTCCAGTACTTAGTATCAGTAATAAGTCCTTGTAATTGTAATAAAAGGATATTATACGATTACCTATATGGTTAAAATAAAATCCTACATGTGTATTTAAAAAAAAAATGAACACAAAAGCGCCATCTCATTTTTAGTCTATAAACTAATAATGAAAAAGTTCCATGATTGCCAATCATTGATTGGTTTGTCAGGTCTGGTAAAATTTCTCCAGATTTGGTGATTTTATTTTATTCTGGTGATTTTGTAAAAACTTTTATCAGCATTTAGCAGCTCAGTGTTTTCCATTTAGCAGATTATTCGAAAGCATTTTAAGAATAACCGGTTGTCGGTTATTGAAAAAAAATAAACCGGTTGTCGGTTAACTGGGGTTGATGAATAACCGGATATTAACCGGTTAACCTATAGCAAAATAACCGGTTATCAAATAACCGGTTAGTTTTGCCCATCCCTAGTTGACAGCAGCAAAATTGGAAATGTCAATTTTAAAAGTACTAAAAAAATTGTTTTTTAAGATTTTCATAAAAACATATTGTAATAATCTATTTCTAAGCCATCATCTTTTGTTGCTCAAGTTTAAAAACAACTTTTTGAAAGAATTTATGGAAAAAAACACTTTTGCAAATGTTATTTTTGACAGATTATTTCAAAAGTTAGTTTCTTTAGTTTATATAGATTAAAAATTGATTATTGTAATTATTTGGCGTATAAAAAACGCAACCTTACAAATTATTTTTTTGGAAAGTGCTGTAAAAAAATCCGAAATTATTTGTGAATTAATTTTTGATTTTTTTTCTTAATGGAAAGTAGGTGACATTTATAATTTGTAAAATAGTTCAGATAACACCCAAAGTAAACAAAACAAACTAATCTCTGATTTTTATCTTGATAAATCACAGCAAAATAAAGATTTAGGTATTCCAGTAAACACCTGACGTGTAAAAAACCTAATTACTTATTGCGATAAATCACTCATCATTTGCGTGATACTCAGACTTACGTAATAAACCGGTGCAAAAATAAGGTAGTAAATATAAATTACTGGAAGTGGAAGTATGTCTACCGGAAAAACAATTATGAATGCGTAATAGAAAGATGGAAATCTTAATAACGGATTTCGAGCGCACTAATTACCAATTATTAAAACAACTATTTAAGCGCATGCATTTTTGCTATCTAAACTTGAATTATGAAAATCTCAAAAAAACAAATTTTTTAGCACAAATTGTCAAATTTCGTGCTGCCAGCTTAAGAAACACAACAATATGATAACTTGAAACCCTAATTTTGCCATTGTAGCAACAGATTAACAATTTATATTGTTACATATTTATTTTTTGTTTTTAGTTTTTAATTGCACTTATTATAAAGTAGTAAATACAACGTTTAATTTTTACTACATTGGCACCTCCGAATTTGCTGCCATGGCCTACTGTTATTTATTTAACAAACTTTTCAAATTGATACCTTAAAATCTTAAAATGAAGATTTTTGTATTTTTTGACATTTAAAATAAAAAAAAATTACTTGTTGCTTTTGATAACATTATTTTTCCAATTTTAATATTTTAGGAATAAAAATTTTTGATTATATCTGTAAAATTATAATTTGTAATAAAGTCAGTAAAACGATTAAAAATAATTGAAAAAGAACACTTTATTCTAAAAACATATGCGATTCCTTGTGAGTTCTTTTGATGAAAACTCTTGCCAACCGAAATAAAAAAAGTGAACTTGATCAAAAAGCGTCAGAGTCCATATAAATCGTATCTTTTGTCGAACAACAAGGTCGACACCACAAAACCCACGGTGTACTCGGCTAATCGAAAAAAGTACGTACTTTTGCGGTGTTGCGGTAGGGAGGACTGCACCGACAAAACCGGCAACTGCTCTTCGCTGCGCGCGGCAACGCTGGCCGACCTGCTCGCCTCTTTTTCGGCCGCGTTCCGCAGATCGCCGACGATCTCGTCCAACCGCGTCGAGATCTCGGGAAAGGTCGGCCTGCTCTTCGGTTCTATTGCACAACATCTGAAATGATTATATGATTTTAATTTTTAACCCCTCAAACGGGTTGGCAACTCACCTAAAAGCCAAAGTCAAAAAATCAGGTACAACATTCTGGCCGCACAGCTCGCTAAAGGCCAAATAGTCGAGTCCGAAGTTGTCGGTTCTGGGCAGCTGATCCGGATCAGCTTCGACGCGCGCTATCAGCTCGCACAGCACGATGCCGTAGCTGAACACGTCGCTGCTCTCGTCGTAGTACTGGCCCTTGAGGCACTCCGGCGACATCCAGTACGGGCTGCCCACCGTGCAGAGGCGAGGCTTCGTCAGCGGATCGGGAATCGAAGTCGACAGTCCGAAATCCCCGACAACGGCCACCATTCCCGGCAAGGTCTTTATCAGGACATTCTGCCACAAAATACATCAATAAATGGCTAAATAAACACAATTAAACAAACAAGTTATACCTCTATCATTTTTTGCATTGGAGCTAGTTTTTTAATAAAAAAATTATATGTAATTTTTTTTACATAACCAGGTAGTGATTAAAGTGCGGTAACGGTAATTTTGGTAAGGTAAGTTTGGTAATTTAACCCGGCAAATTTCTTTACCGGTAATTTTCAAAAATGATTTTGCCATCTAGCCCTGAATCTATAACGTTCTTGGATTTATTCATTTTCTTCACCTAGTTGCATTATTTTCTGGCAGATGGCATTGATAGTGGGATTAGTAGAATATTTACTTTATTACTTAGTGTTTAGCACTAAATCAGAACAATATATTTTTTTAATTTTTGAATAAATATTATTTGTTTTCTTTTTTAATTAACAATAATATAATAAATGGTTTAAGTATGTAAAAAATACTAAAAATATATAATCCATTATATAATGTCCATCCACATGATATAATTATTTGTTTTCTGATATATTTCCAAAATTACCCTAAAATTACCGGTAAACTTCAATCACTATAACCAGGGAGCAACTGCATGTCACTGAACCATTCTACATATACATCATCATTGTTTTTACCTCTAAAAACCATGAAATTATTCATCCAAGCAAAAAAGAAACCCTTTTAATTATGTTATTATTAGCAAGTTTGTTTTGAATTTAAAAAGACTTGTTAATTCAACCCCGATTTAATAGGGGTCTATCGGTATTTTTTTAATAGGTCAAATTGAGTCCAGATGACAGATTTCAAACACAGGTTGGCTCGAAATAAATTCAATATTTATGAGCTTTAACTGGATTCTAAATTTAGCGAAAAATTTGATATTTGTGTTCTTGTTTTCCGAAAATATGTTTACCCAAAACGACAATAATATATAAACAAATTGTTTAGCAATCATTGTGCGAAAAAGTCGGATGATTCACCGCAAGTAAATAATATAACCCGTTTATCTAAAATAGACATAAATAAATAAATAAATCCCACGCCCAATGCACTATTTCAGGACCCAATGCGTCAACTCAGATAAAGTTGAGACAATTTACGATTAATGCACGTCAGAGTCTATAGTCACGTCATTTAAACGCTATATTCTTATAACACGTTTTTACGGTCATCTGCTTAAAAGTAAGACTTGATTTGCAAGATTGAAAATAGCATAAAACTTTTTTCTTAAAACAATACATTCCCCCCCCTGAAAATGGTATATTTCATCTCTCTACATATGAACGTAATAAATTTTAACAATTTTTCATTAATAAAAAATAATTTATTAAAAAAAAAAAAGGTTTTTGGACACTAATTTTTCCACCACAGCACACTGTGCGCCGGATTTAAATTAAGTTAGATGGCGCCATTTTTACGTATCGATCTGGGGAGTTTTAGGTTGTTTCGTTGGCAATGGCGGCGTTGTTCGTGTTTGTTTACCATTCGCTGTCTTGATCTTCCATTTAATTTAATTTTTATATTGCGTTTTGCCTTTTAAATTCGGATTATAAAACATTCTGTTTTATTTGATTTTATTTAAGTAACGTGGGTGGCAATTTTTTTTTGAATTTAGTTAGTTATATCAGATGTTTACAATTTTAGTTAAGTAAAAATGTCCTGTGTTATAAAAGATTGCAAAAACGTGCGAAGATTTATGTGCCTCGGTGAACATATATCTTTTCACAGGTAAATTGGGTCACATAAATTACTTAATAAATAACACATTTTTTTAGATTTCCACGTAAGGACCCCTTATTTCAAAAATGGGTTCAAAGTTTAAATCTTGGTCCTAAAAGTTGGAAACAAACAATGTATGTATGTTCCAAACATTTTAACCCTGAGGATATAGTTGTTTCCCATCGAGAGGAAAAAACAATCCACAACCTCAAGTTTAATGCTGTGCCCACCCTTAACCCAATAAAAGCTGAGGTGGTTGATAGTGATTTTAAAGGAACAGTTGGTACTCCTCCAACAAAAAATACTATTTTTGAAAATGTTCCTAAATTAGAATTTGATGAAATTGAAATTAAGTAAGTTTTACTTTTCTTTGAAAATTTCATTCTTGATAAAAATTTTTGTTTGATTTTAAACCCCCAAAATATGTGACACATCATTTTCATTGGCTATGGTTAATTTGTATTTTTGTCAGTTTTTGTTCATGTCATTTTATTTCCAACAAATGAATCATGGTAGGTAGAAATCTACTTACGAAAAAGTATAAAAAATGCTTAATATGGTGATAAAAAATGCATTTACTTTTGAGAAATAAAAAAAGAAAACTGACCAAACTTACATAATTTAATTTGTTAACAGGACAGAACAATTGGAATGGCAGGATGGTTCCAGTGCAGAAGAAATGCCAAATTTTTCAGTAAAGCAAGAAATCCAAAGGTATGTAAACTGTTTATAATTGGGGTTTGCATAAACTTTGTGTTAAAAATTACATAATAATAATAAGAATTCGAATTCGAATATTCATTAATTATTCACTCCATAATGATTATTTAAAATTTATTCATTATATATATATATATATAATAATGTATATTTTGTAGAAACAAAACTGATGGTTCACCAGATAGATCAAGTATAAAAAGAAAGAAATTCTATTTGTAAGTAAAACATTACAAAAATAACCAAATTACAGCGGTATTTTTAGTCGTACTCAAATAAGAAGCAAATTTGAGGTTAACAATAAAAAAATTTGCAGAGCTCATAATAAATTGAAAAGAGAGGTTTCTTCTCTGCACGAAATCGTGAGGGATCCAAAGTTGAAACGATTTATGTCAGGATTTGCGATCGAATTTTTAGAAAAAACATTCGATGGAATTCCTCAAGCCCTCATGAAAAGAATGTTAAGAAACGCCGTAGAGCTCAAAAAGTTTGCCATCACGCTACAACTTTTTAATGCCAAAGCTTACGATTACGTGAGAAAAACGTTTAATTTGGCTCTTCCCAGTCCAAATGTTGTAAGGGAATGGTGCAATGTACTCGACTTTAACCCTGGGTTCACCAAGGAATGTTTTGAGGTGCTTAGATTGAAAAATGAAGAAGAAAAACTTGTATGCTCCCTGACTTTTAAAGAAATGCCCATTAAGAAGGAAATAGATTTTGATGGTGGAAGAAATTGGGGGTTCATAGACATAGGCTTTCCAGTTTCTAATTATTCGGTGGAAACTGCTTCCGAAGCGCTAGTTTTAATGGTCGTCAGTCACAATCACTTCCTAAAAATGCCAATAGGGTATTTTTTAGTAAGGCCTTTAAATGGTCCTGAAAAGGCAAACATAATTAAAGAGGCTCTCATAAGGCTGGAAGAAATTAATGTCGACGTAACATCGGTAACTTGCGATGGGTCTGCGACTCACTTTCGCATGTTTGAAGAATTGGGGTGCAATTTCAATCGACCAAACTTAAAAACCCACTTTATGCATCCAGCAGATGATACGAAAAAAGTTTATGCGATTTTCGACGCCTGCCATTTGCTAAAACTGGTGAAAAATTGTTTGGCCGATCTTAAAACATTTAAAGATCCAAATGATGAAGAAATAAAATGGGAATACATGGAGGAGTCGCATACAATTCAAGAAAAAGACAATACACATATGAAATGGCAAGGGCATAAAATGAGGGTATGTACTGTGTTTTGTTGTGACGTGTTAATTTTCTTATATTTTAGTTAAAAATGGACGCACAAACGTTAAGTGATAGTAACACGCCACCCACAATTAAATTTATCAAAACGTTTAATGATCTGTTTGATCTTAATTTCAAAGGACTTTTGAAGCCAGCAACCTCACATTTCTGGAAACCAGTTATTATCGACACTATAGATTATATTGTAAATCTGAAAGATGGACAAGGGAAGAATTTACATAAAACCATTAAAAAAGCACCATTTTTAGGGTTTATAATCAACCTGCTTTCTTTTATGGGAATTTATAAGGATTATGTGGAATCGAAAAAACTCGAGTATATATTAACGTATACGTGCTCTCAGGACCATTTGGAGTTATTTTTTAATGAATTAGGGTAATAATTAGATAACATTTGATAACAATATTGATACCAGTATGTTTATAGAAATGAGTGGAATAACAACCCTTCAGCTTTGCAGTTCATGAGGAAATACAAATATATTCTTAATGTGGATGGCAAAGAAGGTAACTGTCAAGTTTTGGGAAACAGTTCAATAGAGACTGAAGAACATGTTCCTTTCCTGCCTTGATTAAATGGAATTCTCTAAAAATATTTCCTTATAAATTCATTATTAAAGTTTAAATATATTATTGTTTATATTATTTCTTAGTTCTGTTTTTATTTAAATATCAATAAATAATAAATTATTAATTGCACTTTTAAATATAGAAAATGATAATTTTTCGACGGACATATCCTGCGAATTCGCAAGATATGAATCGAAAGTCTATTCAAATCCAAGCTGGACTAACCAAAAAGGCCCAGACGCGTGATAACTCGTTTCTATTGGTCGATTCGGAGGATTGTGTTTACATTTAGTCCAGCTTGGATTTGAATATTCGTATTTCGCATCTATATGAAACTGATTTATGCCCGGTTAAAGTTACAATTAGTTATCTGGGAGATAATCTCCACGGATACCATTGGTCTCACAACGACCGATGTGGAATTTAACTGTGTCTGTAGAACTTAACCAGAGATTGACAAACCGATTTAACAGTGTAAACTCACCTTGCTGGTCAAGTCCCTGTGGAAGACCCGTTTGGAGTGCAGGTAGGCGCAGCCTCGAGAGATGTCCCGTGCGATGGACATGCGCGTCTGCTGCGGCAGATCGATCTGCCGATTCTGCACGACCTGGTCGAGCGACCCGCCGTCAATGTACTCGGTGAGCGCGTGCAGCTGACCCTCGTGCACGCACACGCCCATCAGCCCGAGTATGTTCGGGTGCGACAGCCGGTTCATCAGCTGCACCTCCTTCAGCATGTTGCGACGGTTCGACGGCAACAGGTTCATCTTCAGGACCATCACTTGACCGGTCACACGGTGCGTCACCTGCAACAGATTAACCTTCTTTAGATCTCAAGCTGTCTAGACCTTATCAGTTTCGTATCTTAATAATAGAGACATCGTTGGGGTTTGAAATTATTTTAACAAATAAAAATATTTTACGGAAAGTTTCGTAAAGGTAATATGCATTTTGTAAATTTCAAAGGTTGCAGATTACATTGTTAATGTACAGTTAAAACAGTACCTTCATTTGCAAGGTATACATAGGGAAAATACATTGTAGGTGGAACAGACAAGTCGAAGTCAGCGCGAAACGAAAATGTTCCCAGAAATTATTTTGACGAGTGGATGAGTAGACTAACATGCGACGTAACAGGTGATCTTGTTTACTGGCGATTAAAATTTTATTACGTCCAAATAATTTCTGAGAACTTTTTCGCTTTGCGCTGACTTCAACTTGTCTGGTCCACCTACAATGTATTTTCCCTATGTATTGTAAAGGAATACTAAATTCATTTTATTTATCCTTTATTTAATCACTTCTTAAGTACACGAATGTATAATGGGTTGCATATTCAGTAGGAGCTAAAAGGGTTCGAGAGACACCCTGTACCTATAGTTTTTGTGATAATTGCTTCCATTTTGGATTGCTTTGTGCAGAGAGAGCGTAATACTACGTTAATTCATTTAATCTGTGTCATCCTCTGGATTTCTATAAGTTTTATATTTCTAAATATTTAAACTATAATCTGGTGTCCAGGTAAGGGTAGCATTTTTAACAACAAAAGGATGCGTGTACTAATTGCTCGACATTCCAGATTTCATTGAACCATTCGCGTTTTGCTGGCTGATAACTGGGTTTTATAAAAGTGTAGTCTTCTTATCCGATTAAACCATCAAGGTAACAATCAATTGTGTATTTTTGTCTAACCGAAGCCAACCCTGAGATTCGTGGCACATCGGCTCCCGTGCTACGTTACAACTTGGCTCCCAACGTGGGGCTCGAACCCACGACCCTGAGATTAAGAGTCTCATGCTCTACCGACTGAGCTAGCCGGGAAAAGGCAGGTCGTGGCTTATGCGAGTCGGTTGTTGTTGGACAGGGAGCGTGCGTGGAGCACCACCGAGAAAGAATGCCTTTCGATCGTTTGGGCGCTAACCAAGTGGAGGATTTACCTTCTGGGCGCAAGATTCTTCGTACTTACGGATCATAGAGCTTTGTCTTACCTGGGTTCTTGCCGACTTTTATCGCCGAGAATTACTCGCTGGGTACTCGCGCTCCAAGAGTATGATTTTGAAATTAGGTATATTAAGGCTAAGGATAACATCATAGCCGACGCACTATCACGATACCCTTCCCCTCGGCCTCCAGTACCCGCTACTAAGTGTTTCCGCATTTTAGCTACTTCAATTGGGTTTTCAGACGATCTGCAAACGCAGTTAGCCTCGATTGGAGAAGAACAGCAAGCAGATCTTAAATTGTCAGGTATTATTGACCGTGTTAGGGAGCATCCGGAAGCTCACCCCCGGTTTGTGTTACACCAGAATGTACTCTTCATACGGCAAGGCGAAGACGAACACTGTCTGCTTTGTATCCCTCGGAATCTGGTTAACCAAGTAATTGTGGGTTTCCATGAGGCCTTAGGCCACTTCGGAGTTTTCAAAACCTGGAGCGCTCTGAAGCGGGAGGTTTGGTGGCAGAATATGCACAAGGACGTAAAAAAAGTATTAAAAACCTGTCAGATTTGTCAACTGGCAAAGCAATCCTTGCTACCAAGTTTGCCGTTTCAGTCAATTATTCCTGAGGGTCCTAGGCAGTTACTTGCTTTGGATCTTTACGGCCCATTGCCCCGTTCACGTGGTGGAGTTGCACATATTTTGGTAGTATTGGATGTTTTTACTAAATTCGTGCAGTTATACGCTTTAAAACATGCCACGACAGAAGCAATTCTTAACCTACTTAAGAATAAATATTTCCCCTTGTACGGTAAACCTGAAAAAATACTTAGTGACCATGGCACTCAATTTACATCCGATCAATGGAGCCATGCTCTCGAATCCTTAGGAATTACAGTCCTTAAATCTTCAGTCCGTCATCCAATGGCCAACCCCTCGGAACGCGTCATGCGCGAACTGTCTCGGCTTTTCCGTACTTATTGTAGCGAGAGGCATACTAAATGGGCTTACGAGTTAAATAAAATTGTAAGTATTTTAAATTCGGTCACCCATGAGTCAACCAACGCTTCGCCTTTTGAGCTGCAGACAGGAAAACCAGCCGAATTACTTATTCCTAAAATAATAGACGTACCCAATGGTGCTAAAGCACTGGACGCACACATTAAGATTTTCCTGGCTAGAGAAGCGTTGCATTCTCGGGCGGCTCGCCGTAATGCACAGCAGACCGGTCACCGTATCATTAAGTTTGAGATTGGCGACTTGGTGTTGCTTAAGGCAAACCCTACGTCCTCCGCACTGGACAAAAGAACAAAAAAATTCATGCTACTTTTTGAGGGTCCTTACAGGGTTAAAAACACAGTATGCGGTAATACCTATATTTTGGATAATCCTCACACCGGAGAGGAACGGGGGATGTTTCACGCTTCTCATATTAAGAAGTATCTTTCCAGTTGAGTATTAAGCCTGATAATCCGATATTGATTTCGAAAATTTGGCCTTCGTTCAAAACGGGTTATCAGTCTGGGGGGGTAGTTGTAAAGGAATACTAAATTCATTTTATTTATCCTTTATTTAATCACTTCTTAAGTACACGAATGTATAATGGGTTGCATATTCAGTAGGAGCTAAAAGGGTTCGAGAGACACCCTGTACCTATAGTTTTTGTGATAATTGCTTCCATTTTGGATTGCTTTGTGCAGAGAGAGCGTAATACTACGTTAATTCATTTAATCTGTGTCATCCTCTGGATTTCTATAAGTTTTATATTTCTAAATATTTAAACTATAATCTGGTGTCCAGGTAAGGGTAGCATTTTTAACAACAAAAGGATGCGTGTACTAATTGCTCGACATTCCAGATTTCATTGAACCATTCGCGTTTTGCTGGCTGATAACTGGGTTTTATAAAAGTGTAGTCTTCTTATCCGATTAAACCATCAAGGTAACAATCAATTGTGTATTTTTGTCTAACCGAAGCCAACCCTGAGATTCGTGGCACATCGGCTCCCGTGCTACGTTACAGTATAGCTTGCAAATGAAGGTACGGTATATAATATATTACACACTGGTTTTCAAACTGAAATTAGGAGATACAGTGAAGTGCGTTAAAGTTACGAAATACATCAGTAAGTGTTGTAGTAGTACTGATAATTATGTTGTACCAAATTTCTTTATAATTTGATGATTTCAGAATGGTGTGTTATTTAATTGTGTGTGTTATTTTTGTGTTCATTTTTGTAGGTATGTGTTAATTTTTTTGGTTTAGGAAATTGATTAATAAAGCAACAATTCTTATCAAAATTCTTTTCTACAAAAAGGTTTGTAAAAATAAGGTCCTTTTTAAAAGTTACAAGAATTATGCTTAAGTTATTGACAGTATTTTGTTATTAAATCTACAAAATGTTTGATATAATTACAAACTACTTATTCAATTAGTTAACAGATTATAGTTGGTTGTAAACTTAACATAAAATCTGGTTGATATTTGGTTAAAATTAACAAATATATTTTTACTGCATTTTATATTTTAATCGGTTAATTTTCAAAGCTGTGTAGATAACCTAAAACAATATAAATATTTATACTTTATTATAAAATAATGACAAATTAGTTAAATTTATTGTTTATAAATCATCAAATATAATTTATAACTAATAAATAATATAGAGTGCATGTAAACAAACAAAAAACTCAAAATGATGAAAATGTTATTTTGAAAAATAACACGTTTTGGCGTTCGTTAAATATTTGGAACTGATAGTGAATAACAAAAAAGCTGCCAGCTAAATGTTTTAAATAAGAAGACAAATAAATCATTTTTTTATTTTTATTGTATACAATATATTCAATGCATGTATTTATACTATTGACACAAATGCAATATAATTATCAACTAAGTAACTAAGTGTAAATATGAAACACTTTGAAATATTTAATTTAAAAATGTATAGCAAAGATAAGGCAATTTCACCTATTTTTAATGCAAATTAAAGAAGATAAGAAAATCCTTGGTTTTAGCACTAGACTGCAAAAAATGTTGATATTTATTGTTTGGATAAACCACTTGATCTTATTAAATTAATGCCCATTGTATTGCACTTTAATAGCCTGAGCCGTTATGTCATGGCAGTTTATCACGTTGATAAATGGAAAAACAGTATTTACCCAATTTTCGAGTGTGTTACGAACTAAACCGTGTCATAAAGTCTGTTAAATAACAGTTTACGTATATTTTTAAATAAAGTTTAAATTATTCTGTTATTCATGTTTTAAATTACATATTTTACATTAAATAAACTATAATATACATTATATGGTCCAGGTTGTAAAATTAAAATACCTACCTATATATAGGTAATTAGTTAGTAAGCATACTTGAACCCATACTTATAAAACCGCATTTCATTGGATAAATGTTTATTGTGGATATTTAAAATATTTGAGATACCACATCGCATAAATTTTATATGGGTAATAGAAAGCCATAATACCAATAAACCACCATTATAATGCACTTCACGCGCAACTTTAATTTTTTTAATACGACTTCCGCTTTAAATCTTTTCTTTTTCTAGAATAAGACAGTTAGTCCTATTACGTAGTTCTAATATCACTTTTTACTTATATTCCTTAAAGTGTTACAAAATGAATTGAAATCTCTTAGACCGATCCAACCTCACTTTCTCCCAATTAAATTATATAGTGTATTGTTACAGAAAATATTATTCCAAAATGGTCGAGATATAATGCTTAAATTTTACATATGGCCTGCATCCGCCTGTTGCAAGTTTTACGTATTAGATGCCTACCGGCTGAGTTTTATCGGTCTCATCGGAAGTAAAAAGAATTTTAATTGGCCCGTGTAAAAGT